AGATATATAGAGTACAAATCACACGAGATTATTATAACAAATATTATATTTATTTATCACATTTTATATGTTATTTATTTAATTTCGCATCTTTATTATATATATATATATTTTTTATCATTTTAGTTTTGGATCACGTCTTATAGATATATAGAGTAAAAATCACACGAGATTATTATAACAATTAATATATTTATTTATCACATTTTATATGTTATTTATTTTCACATCTTTATTTTATATATATATATATTTTGTTTTTATTATTTTGGTTTTGGATCACGTCTTATAGATATATAGAGTACAAATCACACTAGATTATTATAACAATTATTATATTTATCACATTTTATATGTTATTTATTTAATTTCGCATCTTTATTTTTTATATATATATATATATATATTTTTTATTTATTATTTTTATTTTATTTTTTTTATTTTGGATCACGTCTTATAGATATATAGAGTACAAATCACACAAGATTAATATAACAATTATATTTATTTATTTAGTGGAGTGCGGCACATATTTATTATTTTAAGACCGCAATAAAAAAAACCGCCAGGGTTTCTAATCCCTCTCCATCCAAACTAAAATTAATGTGTCTTTATTTACCACCCCTGGTCACACCGATCCGACTTCCAGTGAAGTCGCACAATTTCAAAAGTCGGGTGTCCTTCCGACTTGAGGTGTGACTTGCAAGAGATCTGCGGCTTACAAAACACAGATGTCTATGGCAGTCACACCTGAAGTACTGCATGCTTTAGATATCAGTGCGGCTCCAAGGTGGAATGGCGCCGATATGACCCCTGTAATTGTGGACAATAAGGTGCGTCTTCCATGCAATTTGAAACAGCATAGTATGGCAAATCGCATGGAAAGTTGCACTCGGTATAACCGGACACTTATACTCGGCTCCTTCCCGCCGTCGCCACCTCCCAGCCCTTTAACAGGTTCTAAGTTACAGGAGGCAGAGGCGGGCATTCTGATCACGTGACAGCCGTAATTGGAGGTCACACAGGTCACATGATCGGAAAGCTCCTGATTGTCAGTACGTGTTGGACGTTTTCCTGGGACCTCACTTTAAGCACAGTAAAGGCACCACCTGCATGGAGTTTCCATGTTCTCCTTGTGCCTGCGCGGGTTTCCTCCGGGTACTCTGGATTTCTCCCGTCACATTTGGGGTGCCACTTAGGGGGAACGGCACCCAAATGCTCATCTTGTGTGTTTTACTGAGACTTCCAAATCGCCTGTATGTGATTCCTGGCAGTAGACGGAGGGCCGGGCCCAGGGCTGAGCAAAGTGCAGAACCACAAGTCCCATCATGCCTCTGCCTCTGGGAGTAACTGTCAGCCTTCCCATCATGCTTCTGGATCAGGGGTCTCCAAACTGTGGCCCACATGCAGCCCCTTTGCCTGCTTTTATCTGGCCCTTGGGGCACTATTTCTTCTACTGATACCAACAATGGGAAATAATTCCCCCCACTGACACCAATGAAAGGGAGCAATTCCTCCTAAATGACAAAAACAATGAAGCCCAATGACACCAATGAAGGTGTACAATTACTCCCAATGACACCAATGAAGGTGTACAATTACTCCCAATGACACCAATGAAGGTGTACAATTACTCCCAATGACACCCATGAAGAGGCACAATTTCTCCGAATCACATCAACAATGAGACCCAATGACACCAATGAAGGGGTACAATTCCTCCCAATGACACCATTAATGGGGCGCAATGTCTCCCAATGACACCACCAAAGAGGCACAATTACACCAGTAATGGGGCACAACTCCACCCAATGATACCAATGATGGGGCACTATTCCTCCTACAGGCACCAATGACGGAGCACTATTCCTCCCACTGACACCAATGATGGGACACTATTCCTCCCACTGACACCAATGATGGGACACTATTCCTCCCACTGACACCAATGACAGGGCACTATTCCTCCCAATGACACCAATGATGGGGCACTATTCCTCCCAATGACACCAATGATGGGGCACTATTCCTCCCAATGACATCAAAGACGGGGCACTATTCCTCCCAATGACGGGGCACTATTCCTCCCAATGACACCAATGATGGGACACTATTCCTCCCAATGACACCAATGATGGGGCACTATTCCTCCCAATGACACCAATGATGGGGCACTATTCCTCCCAATGACACCAATGATGGGGCACTATTCCTCCCAATGACACCAATGATGGGGCACTATTCCTCCCAATGACACCAATGATGGTACACTATTCCTCCCAATGACGGCCCCCTATTCCTACCAGTGACACCAATGATGGGACACTATTCCTCCCAGTGACACCAATGATGGGACACTATTCCTCCCACTGACACCAATGATGGGACACTATTCCTCCCACTGACACCAATGATGGGACACTATTCCTCCCACTGACACCAATGATGGGACACTATTCCTCCCACTGACACCAATGATGGGGCACTATTCCTCCCAATGACACCAATGATGGGGCACTATTCCTCCCAATGACACCAAAGTCGGGGCACTATTCCTCCCACTGACACCAATGACGGCCCCCTATTCCTCCCACTGACACCAATGATGGGGCACTATTCCTCCCCACTGACGGGACACTATTCCTCCCACTGACACCAATGACGGGGCACTATTCCTCCCACTGACACCAATGACGGGGCACTATTCCTCCCACTGACGGGACACTATTCCTCCCACTGATACCAATGATGGGACACTATTCCTCCCAGTGACACCAATGATGGGACACTATTCCTCCCAGTGACACCAATGATGGGACACTATTCCTCCCAGTGACACCAATGATGGGACACTATTCCTCCCACTGACACCAATGATGGGGCACTATTCCTCCCACTGACACAAATGATGGGGCACTATTCCTCCCACTGACACCAATGATGGGGCACTATTCCTCCCACTGACACCAATGATGGGGCACTATTCCTCCCACTGACACCAATGATGGGGCATTATTCCTCCCACTGACACCAATGATGGGGCACTATTCCTCCCACTGACACCAATGATGGGGCACTATTCCTCCCACTGACACCAATGATGGGGCACTATTCCTCCCACTGACACCAATGATGGGGCACTATTCCTCCCACTGACACCAATGATGGGGCACTATTCCTCTCACTGACACCAATGATGGGGCACTATTCCTCCCACTGACACCAATGATGGGGCACTATTCCTCCCAATGACACCAAAGTCGGGGCACTATTCCTCCCACTGACACCAATGACGGCCCCCTATTCCTCCCACTGACACCAATGATGGGGCACTATTCCTCCCACTGACGGGACACTATTCCTCCCACTGACACCAATGACGGGGCACTATTCCTCCCACTGACACCAATGACGGGGCACTATTCCTCCCACTGACGGGACACTATTCCTCCCACTGATACCAATGATGGGACACTATTCCTCCCAGTGACACCAATGATGGGACACTATTCCTCCCAGTGACACCAATGATGGGACACTATTCCTCCCACTGACACCAATGATGGGACACTATTCCTCCCACTGACACCAATGATGGGACACTATTCCTCCCACTGACACCAATGATGGGGCACTATTCCTCCCACTGACACCAATGATGGGGCACTATTCCTCCCACTGACACCAATGATGGGGCACTATTCCTCCCACTGACACCAATGATGGGGCACTATTCCTCCCACTGACACCAATGATGGGGCATTATTCCTCCCACTGACACCAATGATGGGGCACTATTCCTCCCACTGACACCAATGATGGGGCACTATTCCTCCCACTGACACCAATGATGGGGCACTATTCCTCCCACTGACACCAATGATGGGGCACTATTCCTCCCACTGACACCAATGATGGGGCACTATTCCTCTCCACACTGACACCAATGATGGGCACTATTCCTCCCACTGACACCAATGATGGGGCACTATTCCTCCCACTGACACCAATGATGGGGCACTATTCCTCCCAGTGACACCAATGATGGGGCACTATTCCTCCCACTGACACCAATGATGGGGCACTATTCCTCCCAGTGACACCAATGATGGAACACTATTCCTCCCACTGACACCAATGATGGAACACTATTCCTCCCACTGACACCAATGATGGGACACTATTCCTCCCAGTGACACCAATGATGGAACACTATTCCTCCCACTGACACCAATGATGGGACACTATTCCTCCCAGTGACACCAATGATGGGCACTATTCCTCCCAGTGACACCAATGATGGAACACTATTCCTCCCACTGACACCAATGATGGAACACTATTCCTCCCACTGACACCAATGATGGAACACTATTCCTCCCACTGACACCAATGATGGGACACTATTCCTCCCACTGACACCAATGATGGGGCACTATTCCTCCCACTGACACCAATGATGGGGCATTATTCCTCCCACAGACACCAATGATGGGACATTCCTCCCCACTGATGTTGGGACCTTTTATACTCCCTAAAGTTCAGAGTTTGGAGAGCTGTGGCCTGATCCAGAGTTCTGTTTGTGAGGCCTCCTGAGACATGTAGTTCCACAACTAGTGGGAGGTGCAGTTGCCCAGGCTGATGACAGGACACACCCCCTGGGGGCGGGCCCTGACAACCCCGGTGTCAGACGTCTCCCGGAATCACAGGGCTCTCTATAGCGGAGGATCTTTAGGTTCCTGGCGGAGATCAGCACGTCGTCATCTGCTCTCAGGCTGACCACACACTATCCAATCTGATTGTACAATCTCCTACAACAGCCGGCCTGATCGGACTGTTTAGGCGTGTCGTCCTGAGATCGTACAATCAGATCGCACCGTGTATGGCCGGGCACGTACAACCTCTATCCCGGTGTGCGATCAGCTCATCATAAGGTGACACCATGAGACGGTGACACCTCCAGGGACCCCCCTCCCCCGGGACCCAGCACAGCGTCTCACCGTTTGATGCGGAGCACACATTGGGCGGACGCCCTCTCGTTGTCCCAGTCGGCGCTGGAGGTCGGGTCCCACACCGAGGAGGCGGCCAGGTGAGAGGTCCCGGGGGGCTGCAGGGCGCTCAGATGGGTCACCACTCCTCCTCCCACCGCTCCCGGGAGAATGATCGCCTCAGCCGCCGGACTCTCCGCCATTCCTCCTCACACTCGCTTCCGGGATTCCAGAGCACAGAGAAGACCGGCCAGAGCGACTCTCAGTGTCATAGAAACGCCGGCCAGACAAGCTGTTTACTTCCGCCGGAAGTGCGCTAGTGAGCCGCCACTAGACTGCCGGGAGGCCCTGAGCCTGCCTGCTGTGTGACAACAGATTGTAATAAAAGTCCTGACAATAAACTTCTCCTTCTATAAATATATCACTGGGAGTGTTTTGTTGTATTTTCTTGCATTGTACAAGAAACTGGTGATCCTGCCAGAAATCTAGAGGTTGTCCACTTCCTGTGTTGTCTCCATGAGTCCTAAATCCTTCCCTGAGGCCTTTTACCTGACAATTATTATTTATTTATTTCAGGTACTTATATAGCGCCTTCAATTTGTTCAGCGCTTTACATATATATTGTACATTCACATCAGTCCCTAACCCTCAAGGGACGTACAATCTAAGGCCCCTAACTCACATTCATACATACACATACTAGGGACAATTTACCTACCAGCATATGTTTGGAGTGTGGGGGGAAACCAGAGTACCCGGAGGAAACCCAGAAAGGCATAGAGAGAACATGCAATCTCCAGGCAGGTAGGGTTGTTGTTGGGATTTGAACCAACACCAATAGCGCTGCCAGGCAGACATCAAACTGGTTTAAACAAAAGTTCTAACCCAGTATGTATTCCCCTTTCATCCTTCTCAGCCTCCTTCAAATCTCCAAATTCCTTTGTTTTTGCTGCTGTGATGTGACTTCCTGTTAGAAGGTGGCTACATTCATTCTCCATAATCCCACTGTATGTTGGAATGTAGCCACCCCCTTCTGTTCACTCCCATAAGAGACAATTTCTAGATTACAGGGCCATCAAAGAAGATTTCTAGGCATCAGCTTGTTATACAGTGCTGTGAAAAAGTATTTGCCCCTTCCTGATTTTTTTTTTTTTTCTGCATATTTGTCACACATTATTCAGATAATCACATTTTGATATTACACAAAGATAACTCGAGCAAAACACAAAATATTTAAGGGAAGAAAGCTGTCCAAACCTGCCTGGCCCTATGTGAAAAAGTAATTGCCCCCTTTGCTAAATCATGAATGAACTGTGAACCACATGTTTTGGAAAGCTGAGTTCAATCTCACTTGCCGCACCCAGGCCTGATTACTGCCAGACCAGTTAAATCAAGAAATCACTTAAATAGAAGCGGTCTGACAAAGTGAAGCATGCTAAAAGATCTCAAAAAGCAACAGATCTAAAGAAATTCAAGAACAGATGAGAAACAAAGTCATTGGCATGTATCAGTCTGGAAAGGATTACAAAGCCTTTGGGACTCCAGTGAACCACGGTGAGAGCCATTATCCACAAATGGAGAAAACTTGGAACATTGGTGAACCTTCCCAGGACTGTCCAGCCTGCCAAAATGACTCCAAGAGAACAATGACGACTCATCCAGGAGGTCATAAAAGAACCCAGAACAACATCCTAAAGAACTGCAGGCCTCACTTGCCTCAGTTATGGTCAGTGTTTATGATTCAACAAAAATGGCATCAATGGGAGAGCTCCAAGGCCAAAGCCACTACTGACCAAAAAGGAACACAAAGGCTCGTCTCACATTTGCCAGAGACCATCTTGATTATCCCTAAGACTTTTGGGCAAATATTCTGTGGACTGATGAGACAAAAGTTGAACTTTTTGGAAGGTGTGCGTCCCATTACATCTGGTGTAAAACTAACGCAGCATTTCATAAAAAGAACATCATACCAAAAGTCAAACATGGTGGTGGTAGTGTGATGGTCTGGGGCTGCTTTGCAGCTTCAGGACCTGGAGAACGTGCCGTAATTGATGGAACCATAAATTCTGTGCTCTACCAGAAAATCCTGAAGGAGAATGTCCAGCCATCAGGTTGTGACCTCAAGCTCAAGCACACTTGGGTTATGCAGCAGGACAATGATCCAAAAACACACCAGCAAGTTCACCTCTTAATGGCTCAAAAAAACTAAATTAAGGTTTTGGAGTGGCCTAGTCCAAAAAGCCTAGACTTAAATCTGATGGAGATGCTGTGACATGACCTTAAACAGACCATTCATGCACAAAAATCCTCCAAGGTGGCTGCATTAAAACAATTCTCCAAAGAAGAGCTGGCCAAAATTCCTCCACAGCGATGTGAAAGACTCATTGCCAATTATCGCAAATGCTTGATTGCAGTTGTTGCCGCCAAGGGTGGCACAACCAGTTATTAGGTATAGGGGGCACAGAGGCAGACTGACAACTCATGAAGCCCCGGGGCAATAGGGGCTCATGGGGCCCCTGTGTCTTTGCCCAAACTCTAAAAAGCCTATGAAAAAGGTACCAGGGGCATCTCATTGGGCCCCCTACTGACCCCGGGGCCTCGGGCAGTGCCCTAGTTTCCAAATGGTCAGTCCGTCCCTGAGGGGGCAATTACTTTTTTACTTGGGTTATTTTTGTGTAGTCTTAAAATTTGTTGCATGATCTTAATTATTTAAGTGTGACAAATATGCAAAGAAAAAACATCAGAAAGGGGCAAATATTTTATCACAGCACTGTATATAGTTACGGTGCAATGAATGTACCATGAATGGCCAATGCTGAAATCATCGCTACTTTAGTGACCTCCTCTAGCTTCAAGGTCCCCATGCTGAGAAGCTGCTTACCTGCATTAGGAACACAGGAAATCACCTGCTCAGTGTGGGTGCTGTTCAGAGAATGCTTTGCATTCATTCAGAAAACATAAAGCATGCTTTGAATGGTACCCATGCTGAGCAGCCAACTTCCAGTTACATAGTTAGTCTGGCTAAAAAAAGACAAATTTCCATTCAGTTCAACCATAAAAAAAAAAGTTATAATCCTATACCCACAGTTGATCCAGAGGAAGGTAAAAAAAAACCCAGCAAAGCACAATCCAATTTGCTCCTGCAGGGAAAAAAAATCCTTCCTGATCCTCCGAGAGGCAATTGGATATTCCCTGGATCAACTTTACCTATAAATGTTAGTATCCAGATATATTCTGTGTATCTAAGAAACAATCCAGGCCTTTTTTGAAACTATCCACTGAGGTGGCCAGAACCAACTCTTGAGGGAGTCTATTCCCCATTTTCACAGCTTTTACTGTGAAGAAACCTGTTTGGAGATTAAATTTCTTTTCCTCCAGAGGTAAAGATGTGCCCCCTTGTCCTCTGTGATGACCTCAGGGTGACTAGCTCCACACCGAGTTCACTATATGAACCACTGATGTATTTATACATGTTGATCATATCCCCCCTTAATCTCCTTAATAAATTCAGTTCCTCTAATCTTTCCTCATAGCTGAGCTCCTCCATGCCTCTTATCAGTTTGGTTGCCCTTCTCTGCACTTTCTCCAGTTCCCCAATGTTCTTTTTGTGAATGGTGCCCAAAACTGAACTGCATATTCCAGATGAGGTTTTACTAATGATTTGTACAGGGGTAATATGATATCTCTCTCTCTCTCACAAGGTATCAGGCCAGCCACTCAGCACAGGACTATGAAGCAAATGGAGATCGCTGGAGTAGCATTGACCAGGTATGGTATATACGTAGCTGGACCAAAGTATAACATGCCAATGCCTGGAATTATTCTTTAAGTAGTGGAAGTGTGTGGATTATTTTTGGAAAAAAAAGAATATTGTTTTGGTGTCACTTTAATCTTGTAGGGATGGGGTAGAATCTCTGTCAGATTTATACAGCTGTCTATATCCCTGCTGGGAAGCCTTCTTCTCTACAGGAGTCCTAAGTGGTACCAGTCCCAGGAACCAAAAATAAGGGAAAATTTCACACTCAGAAATATAAAATCCTAAGGGCTAGTTCACACTAGTGGTTGAGGGGCCCCTTGACACTTCTGGCTGGCTTAAAGAAGAATTCCAGGCAAAAATGGTAATTTCCCATGCAGTGTAGCTGTGCCCGAACTGCACAGGTTAAATGCTCATTTTTGTCTAGGGGTTCGGAAAAAGGATATATACTTTCCTAATCCTCCGATTTTGAGTGCAAGACCTGCTCCCCTCCCCGCACTCTAGCGGTTATGTGAATGGGCTGTTCCTGACGTCATCACGCCCATAGACCAGCTCCGGATGTGAGCACGGCAGGAACAGTCCACCACTGGACATGGGAAAGAACGGTTTTCTGGAGGACGAGGTAAGTATAGCTTTTCCCTGAGCCCCTGGACAATGCGAGCAGCTAACTCATGCAGAGCGAGCATAGCCCCACTGCATGGAAAAATTAAAAACATTGTGTGGAGTTCTGCTTTAACTACACCGAACGTGACCCATTCAAGTGAACGTGCAATACACATGTTTGCAGAGTGCTGGTGCAGGGTTTAGTGGATAAAGCAGACCTGAGTAGACAATATTAGGCCTCCTAACCGCCTTTTAAATGGAGAGCAATCTACATTCGGATCAGACCAAAGTACTAAGTCACAAGCCCTAAAAGACATACGTGGCTGAAGTTCAACTAATGCCTCTAGGATAGGCCATAAAGGAAGATCTCCCCAATGAAGAGACCTACACAGAAGAGAAAACTCAGTTGAGGACAGTGGAAAAATAGCTGTGGACCTGTAGGGTTATCTCACTAGTGTAGCTATCGTAAAGTATTGATGTTGGAAATTATCTGGTTTCCGGACAGCTTCGATACCCCAGAGGATCACCACCATCTCCTTGGCTTGTAGTGTAATGTAACAAACATGGAAATGAACTGCTAAGAGATCCAGATACAACTTTATTCCAATAAAAGCCAAGAGGACAAGCCAAAAAGTATCCAACACGTTTTGGGGTCCAAGGATGCCCCCTTCATGAGGGCTAGAAAAAACATAAGGACATCTCCATATTAATCCAACATCAATACAGTATCTCTTACTCAGGGTTAGCTTTAAAACCAAAAACCCAAGTGTCCAAAGTTTTCCCCACTCTATCCAAAACAAAGCAAAATGGCTATAGATAGCTGAGTGAAGTGAGAGACTTTGGTGGTGGACATTACTATGTGAACGTCTGCTCTGTTAGATACTTCATTATTGGTCAGATGCTTCTCTACTGCGATACTACCATGTGAGAGACTTCTATGTGAGACTGCATAGTTAGGCCTCTTTCACACAGATGGTTTGGGGGTTGGTAAAAACAGGAGGTTGAGATGCAGCTTCACCGACCACCTAATGCCTACCATACAGCCAGAGGGGGCTGTTCACATAGCGGAATGCTTTGTGCCACAGTAAATTTATCATGGCGTGTCAAGTTGACAGGCAGGACCACCTCGTCAAACATGCCCTTGGAAGCCAATGAGGCTGCACCATTACTGTATTCCATATACTCAGATCACAGTTGCAGCAGATTACTCCCACTGAATTAAAAAAAAAGGTCATGGATCATTTTTTTTAGTGAATACACAAGTGTAAACCTAGTCTTGAAGTGAGACTGCCTTATTTGATCGAGACAACCTTTTCAAGAAAAACCTTTTGAAAAAGACTGCCCTGTAAGAGAAAGAAATGGCATTTGAAAGAGTTCTCTGCTAAAAAGAGGCTTTCAATAAAATGTACTGCAGAGTAGATAAAAAATTTAAATAACCTGTCTTGTTAATCTCTGGCTATCTGGAACTATTCTAACTAGCACAGCTTTTCTCAGCCTTTTTAACACAGAGGAACCCTCAAAATGACTTTCTGGTGTCATGGAACCCCTTCTTATGGAATATTAAATCTATGTCTGAAAAGTACGTTAGGGTATGAGAATAAATAAAACTAGAAAATAGAAAGACATTTGGCATACATATTTTAAATTTTTCTTACAGTTTATGATCATTGAGAGAGTCAATTGGAGAAGGGTCCCATTACATTGGGGGTCACTGGGAGAGTCAGGCTTTGAATGACTTCATTATGCTGTTGATCATTGGGAGCCATCCACAACTCTGCCCCAAGTTACATCACCAAACTTGTCTCAAATTATCAACCAAATCATCCTCTTTGCTGCTCCCCAAGACATGCTGCTTTCTAGCTACCATGTCACCTCCTCCCATACCCATTTGCCTCCAGGATTTCTCATGAGCTTCTCCCTTCCTTTGGAATGTCTTATCCCAATCTGTCCAATCTCTTATTCTATCCACCTTTAGTCGATCCTTCATCCCTTCAGGCAGTCTTGTCCCACCTCCACCTAATAATTGGAACTTTTACTACTCTGTCAGATCATTAGTAAGAAGAATGCTCCCTAAATTGGTGGTCAATGGGAAGAACGCCCCCCCCTTTATGTTGGTGGTCAGTGGGATGAAAATTTCTTAAATTAATGGTCAGTGGGAAGAATGCTCCTTAAATTGGTGGTCAGTGGGAAGAAAGCTCCTTAAATTGGTGGTCAATGAGAAGAACGCCCCCTTACATTTTTGGTCAGTATGAAGAATGCTCCTTAAATTGGTGGTCAGTGGGAAGAATGCTCTTTAAATTGGTGATCAATGAGAAGAACGCCCCCTTACGTTTTTGGTCAGTAGGAAGAATGCTCCTTAAATTGGTGGTCAGTAGGAAGAATGCTCCTTAAATTGGTAGTCAATGAGAAGAATACCCCCTTACGTTTTTGGTCAGTATGAAGAATGCTTCTTAAATTGGTGGTCAGTAAAAGGAATGCTCCTTATATTGGTTGTCAATGAGAAGAACTCCTCCCTTATGTTTTTGATCAGTGGGAAGAATGCTCCTTAAATTGGTGGTCAGTGGGAAGAATGCTCCTTAAATTGGTGGTCAGTGGGAAGAATGCTCCTTAAATTGGTGGTCAGTGGGAAGAATGCTCCTTAAAATGCTAGTTAGGGGAAAGAGTGCTCCTTAAATTAGTAAATTAGTGGTCAATGTGAAGGATCCTTCTTAAACTGGTGGTCACTGGGAAGAATGCTCCATACATGGGCGGTCAATGGAAGCATTGCCCCGTTATAGATAGCTAAAAGATCATTAGGGGTTACTTATTTGAGAATTAGAACTTGCTCTTTGTTCAAGAAACTCTGAACCACCTCTAGAGCAGCTATCTCAACCAGAAAGGAGGGCATTCTTTCCAATGACCACAATGTAAGAGGCATTCTTCCCAGTCACCATTACATGGTTACATAGTTGGTAAGGTTGAATAAAGACATTGGTCCATCAATTACGCTAATATACTGTACTATGAGCTGTTGATAGTCATTCTTAGTAGAGGTTCCTTGAGACCTGAAAGTGATTTCAAGTATTCCTCCATGTTAAACAGATTGAAGAAAGCTGCTCTAGAGGAACTCTGACTGGGAAGAGCTGAACTAGCATTGTAGGGTTGGGTATGGTAGAGCTAGGCCTGACTTACTTAGTTGCAACACAAAGGGGGTATGGTATTACATACTCATCAAACATATGAAACAGCAATCAGACTATCTGCTATGAGAGCACAACTTATATTTCGGTGCCAGCTTTGCCTCTTTATTTACAGTAGTAGTGACAATTTATTTAAGATACATCTGGTAATATGTAATATAGTATATTAGTAGCTTGGAACTTGTGATAGACAGCCATTTCAATAGCGTGGAACTTATGGTGCCTCCCATAAATTTGGTCTGTAGTAAAATGGGACCTGTGATATTGCTGTGTTTCTGTGGTCTGGTTCCTAATTAAATAAAATGTTCCCAAGGACTTTGCATATGCTTGGCACATTAGATACCCAGTGAATTACTGCTGCATGGCACTTACTAGTAAACATCTTATAGCGTTGCTCGCCTTTATACTATATTTCACAAAAATATGGCAGAATGCGCTTTATTAATCATGAGGTTGCTTTATTGCTTGCAGTGTACATACATATATAAATCTTATCACTGTAAAGGCTTCAAACATTAACACAGCTTGTCAAGTCAAAAATACTGATGTCTGATGTAGAAGATGTCATTACCAATTATGAGAATCTGTAACGATAAAAAGAATAATTATTGTTTCAGAAATAGTTTTCTCTGCATTATTTGATAGGATCCTCACTTTGTAGAGGTGTAATCGAAGACTCCAAAAATGTGTATTATTTGCGCAGCAGATGATTACCACCCTAACCATGGATTCAATCCAGGGATCTGCTTGCATTATGCTTATTACTATAATCGGGGAAGATTACAATGGGGGTTGCCAGAAGCATTCCACACAACAATATTGTGGGCTCTGGACGATGATGACATATTTGAGTCTGAGCTTGGTCAACTAAATGCAACTTAAATGAATATCAGGAACTGTTGTTAATGTATAGACCAGCCTTTCTCAACCAGGGTGCCCAGGAACCCTGGGGCGCCTTGAGGTTTATTCAGGGGTGCCTTGGCAAAATGTCTAAAAATTGCCCAAATGTTATATACAGACCAGTGGGTGCAATAAGCCTGCCTTTTATTTACACAAACAGATTTTCATTGTGCACCATTATGACCTTCTAGCCGCTGGCGTCCTGACAACCAGTCAACAGCAACCAACATCATCAGTTGATAAGTAGGATTTTAGCTGCCTGTACAGCATCCTAGTTTGACCCTCCCCTGCCCCTCTCCATCAGTGCTGGGGTCACATTAGCTCAGTGATGGAGAAAACTGAGGGATAAGAAAAAACACTGGAATACTACCCAGTACCAGTGTGCAAAAGTATATTTGCTTTGGAAGAATAAATCACCTCTAATGTTGAGTGTCCTACATATGTGGATGTTGCTGCGTTATATAAAACTATTAGAATAGTTTTTCACATTATAGAATGGGGTGCCCTTTAAAATTATGGACAGTCTTGAGGCACCCCATTTTAGAATGGGGTGCCTCAAGACTGTCCATAATTTTAAAGGGTGCCCCGGGACTGTCCATAACTTTAAAGGGTGTCTTGACTGAAAAAAGGTTAAGAAACACTGGTATAGATGACTAATAACTTTATTGACATTCCTTACATTGGGCTCTACTACTGCTGTAGAGGTTTTAATTTTCATGGCTCTGGTTACCAGACAACTGCCTGCCTAATTTTATACTAAAACTCAGGTTCTACATCAGGTGTCTCCAGACTTTCTAAAGAAAGGGCCAGTTTTCTGTCCTTCATACTCTAGGGGGGCTGAATTGTAGGCAGTGGCAGGTAAACATGTGCTGGTGTCAGTGGGAGTAAACAGTGCCCCATCTTTGGTTTTAGGGGAGGAATTGTGCCCCAGCTTTGACGGCAGTAGAAGGAATAGTGCCCCATTGTTGGTGTCAGTGGAAGGAATAGTGTCCCGTTGTTGATGTCATTAGCAGGAATACTGCCCCATTGTTGGTGTCAGTACGTGGAATTGTGGTTCGTATCACTGGAAATACTAGTGCCTCAATGGTCAAATAAAGGCAAGCAAAGGGTCGCAGTCCAGAGACCACTGTTTTAGATCATTGGACATTATCAGTTTATATTAGATAATTATTTCACTACTGCAGTGGATCCTGCTGCACTGATGACCAGTTGACAGTAAAGCCAACCTGACGGGGTTTTTATCCCTTCTCTACACTGTTAAAAAAAAAACTGGTTTTGGACACACTTTAATTTTTAAATTAGCAAACTTCAGATTCTTTACAAAGTATTGTTTACCTCTGCTTATTACCTCAGCCAGTACAGTAATTTAGAAGATTTGTTGAAATGAAACTCACCTAGCTTTGCACAAATCCATTGCCATGAGTATATCTATGGTCTCCTGGCATAGTTTTACTTTGGCATCATCATAGAAGCTGCAATTGATCATAAAAAACAATTAATAGTACAATAAGAAATTTCAATAGCAGATTATTAAAAGAGTGTATGTTTTCTTTATAAGAGAAGTACACATTTTATGACCACGTCTTGTGGCTGGACACACTAGTAGAAGGGTACAGTTGCTATCAGGGTTCTCTTGCATCAATCCACTTTGTTAAAGATATCCTTGTAAGACAATACTATGATGTTCCATGGGTCCTACTAAACTACTATACACTGTCCAATGAAGTGAAGAATAATATATATTCAAGAAGGGTTTGATAGGGTTCAGAGGTAGGAAAAACTGGATATGTTGAATTAAATAAGTAATAGGTAAACAATATCGCGCTCAATATTGCCACTGAAGGGCAGTGGCATCATGACTCAGGGCCTTTACAATGACTAGACATTATATTGACACTATATTGGGACTATTACAGGGCATTTGAGAAAATAACAGAGATCTTATCTTGATAGTAACATCGCCTTAACCCCTTTTGCTATGCCACTGTGTACGGCTTGTTAAACTAAATACCTTTGATAGGATCAGGATTTTTTTTTTCCCTATGCGCATAAATTGTCAGCTGCTGTATTAACTTCTAGAATAACAATATAGATAAAAATTACAGTGCCTAAATTGTAGATTTTGTAGCTTTTTTCAGCCTTACTATGCTACAACGTACCTATCTTTAACTTACTTTATATCAGTCTTTCTCAACCAGGGTGCCCAGACACCCTAGGGTGCCTTGAGGTTTCTTCAGGGGTGCCTTGGCAAAATGTCTAAAAATTGCCCAAAGCTTGTATACAAGCCAGCGGGTGGAACACGCCTGCCTCTTAGTTACACAAAGCCACAGGTTTTCTTTGTGCACCATTGCATTTTTCTAGCTGCTGGTGTCCTGACAACCAATTACATCATCAGCTGATAAGGAGGATGTCAGCTGCCTGCACAGCATCCTAGTTTGACCCTCCCCTGCTCCTCTCCATCAGTGCTGGGGTAACATTAGCTCAGTGATGGAGAAAAACTGAGGGAGAGGAGAAACATTGGATACTAGTCAGTACCAGTGTGCATAAGTGTATTTGCTTTGGAAGAATAAATCACCTATAATATTGGGTGTCCTACCTGTGTGGATGTTGCTGCGTTATACAAAACTAATAGAATAGTTTTTCACATTTTAGAATGGGGTGTCCTTTTAAAATTATGGACAGTCTTGAGGCATTTTAGAATGGGGTTCCTCAAGACTGTCCTTAGTTTTAAAGGGTGCCTCGGAACTGTCAATAATTTTACAGCGTGCCTTGACTGAAAAAAGGTTGGGAAACACTGCCCTATATAATGCAGGTGCTAATGCACTAGACAGCTATGGAGTTGGCTGTAGGTTTATGCAGGAAAGCAGACACCCCATTAGCCAATGCATTAGTGCTTTTATATCAGACAGTATAGGATGATTGTACCTCTATAGGTATTGACAAATGGCCAAACATATGATAGAATGGGCTTTTTAAACATGACCCATGCTGCGCTGAGTGGTTAAATCTTGGTTTACATAGCTGGATTTACTAAAGTAGACCTAACCAGGTGGGGACTGCTCTCTGGCAGAAAGAATGGTACCTGTAAGAATATCTGGGCCATTTTCAGTCAATGCTGTTTTTATTAACCAGTTACATTTTACTGCAACCTACATAATTTCCTATTAGTGCACAGTACAAATGCAGTCCTTAGTGGTTCCAGTTCATAGGTATTATTGCCCTCAGTATGCTTAAAATAAAAATGTACCAGGAGGATATGGAGACTGCCATTGCTGAATTAGAAGGACATCATCAAGGCAGGCCTTTATGCTTTTCTTAGTGCAGGTTTCCTACAAATTTTGCACTTGTTCAGTTTTCAGTTCTTTTTAGCTTACCCCACCAAATCCTGTCTGGTTATACCACATTGTACTTTCTTGTTTCTTGTCCGAAGTACTAGTCAATAGAAGCTGTTTTTTCCATGTGTAATGCCCTCTAGGTTTGTTGTTTCTTTAATATAGAAGCTGAGTAGCAGTCTGGGATGAGTCAGCCTGGGAGTGAGGGAGGAGTTCATCCCAGGACAGGTGGTTCCTGACAGGAGGTTCTACACGTCAGGGCTTCTGGAGCCCTCCCACCCTTCCAGAAACTGTGAGAACTTCTGAAAGAGGGTGAAGGAGGGGAGGAGGCCCAGATCTGCACGTTAAAGGGATCTTGGCCAATCCCCTAGCAGGAGGCTGGGCATGGTGACCAGGGCAAACCAAGGAGACAGACCCTGGGGAGCAGGGGGAGTTGGGTGGAAGATGGACTGAGAGAAGGTTGGAATGTGGAGCCTGGGAGGGGGCCCCAGGGTAGGAAGCCTACCCACAGGCAGGATGCTGAACCGAAGGATCTCTGCTGCCTCAATGTCTCCTTGAGAGGACAAGCTGTTAGCAGGGAAGGAGCCAGCCTAATGTAAACCTTGAAAGCAGTCACCAACCCACCACGCTAGCAGGAGAGGACAGGTGCAATACCCAACTAGTCTTCACCTGGGACTACTTAACTGCAAGCTCTTGGGGCCCCCTTGCTCAAGGATACCCTAAGCACAGTTGGGTAAAGAGGGGGATTCAACCAGGGTTTGAGGAGGTACACCAAAAAATGGACAATGCTATTTTCATTTTATTTTTGCCAGTCAACCCTTTTTGTACATAGTTGCTGAGATGTTTTTCCTCGAGTTCTACAGTTCTTTGGGCATCCCATATACCCCTAGACCCCATCCAAGTTGTTAACCCCTTAATAAAAACCACTAAAAAACTGCTGAAAGATTGTTTTACTGACTCTAAATGTGGAAGTGTGGGAAATACGTGTTTCCTGGCCGTGCAAGGCTTAGGGGGACCCAATCAAACTCAGCGGCCCCTAAGGGAATAGTGCTACACATGCACTATATCAAAGATCAAAGATGAACAAAAATCTGCTGTATGTTGTTCAACATGAATGGAAACCAATGGCCCAGTTGAATTGGGGCATAAAGGAATAGTCTGCATTGCTCCCACAATCCCAAAATGAGAAATAAACACCTTATTTTTGGCATTTGTGATACTTTAGATATCCTCCTTTTTTAAGAAAGCTCTTCTGTGCTTCAATAAAGGGCTTTTTGGTCCCTTTTGTCCTATCCCACAATAACCTTTCTGGTTATACATTTTCAAAATGTTTTTTTTACAAGGTTTTATTGCCAGACAATAGAAAGCACATAATATACATATTCTGTTACATTGCAAAAGCCATAAAATCATGTTTAATCTTTCAAAATTTGTCTGAATCTACTTTTTTGGCCCAGTCTGGGTACATTACATCATCTTACAGAGCTATAATCAAGGGTGATTATTGAATACATGAGACAGATAAAAACTTTCATATGGTTAAAGAAGTGTTTGCTAAGTGACGGGAAGAGCTGGACTGAGGGTTTCCCAGGCATTACTCTATAGGGAGTCCTAGACAAAGCTACGATTTTATCTTATTCACACCGCTCTACATTCCTGACATTTCTTAGGTAATATTTCAGTAGGAAGTACTTTATGAAATTTTAACTCCTGAACCACATGAGAAAATATTTAATCCTATTCAGGGGGGGATCAGGAAGCATTTTTTCCCAGCAGGAGCAAATTGGATCATGCTTTGCTGGTTTTTTTTTTTACCTTCCTCTGGATCAACTGTGGGTACTTTTTTTTTCTATGGTTGAACTGGATGGACTTTTGTCTTTTTCAGCCAGACTAACTATGTAACTATGTAACATCGCCAAAATACGCACGTTCCTAACCCCAGAAACCACTAAACAGCTCATCCACTCCCTCATCATATCAAAACTCGACTACTGCAACTCCCTCCTCACTGGCCTGCCTCGCCGCTGGCTATCCCCACTTCACTCAATCCTGAATATGGCTGCCAGACTCATTCACCTTTCCAACCGCTCCATCTCCGCCACCCCTCTCTGCCAATCCCTCCACTGGCTTCCGATTGCGCAACAAATCAAATTCAAAATCCTAACACTGACGTACAAAGCCGTCCACCATAATGCCCCGAACTACATCACTGACCTAATATCCAAGTACCGCCCAGCACGCACACTCCGCTCCTCACAAGACCTCCTTCTCTCTAGTTCCCTGGTCTCCTCCCCCATGCCCACCTCCAGGACTTCTCCAGGGTGTCACCCATCCTCTGGAACTCCCTGCCCCAACCCATCAGATTATCATCTACTCTCCTCTCCTTTAGGCGCACCCTGAAAACCCATCTCTTCAGGGAAGCCTACCCCACCCCTACTAACTTGCTGACCTCCTCCACTCTTCCTACCACTCCATCCCCCACAGCTATCTCCTCCTGTGCCACCATCCCCTCCCTCCTAGATTGTAAGCTCCAAGGAGCAGGGCCCTCAATCCCCTCATGTTTTGCATTGTATTGGTATTGTTCTGTCACATGTTCTGTCCCCCTTTGTAATGTACAGCGCTGAGCAAACTATTGGCGCTTTATAAATACTGTATAATAATATAATAATAATAATGTAACTATATCTGTTCCTTTACTATAGGGAGTACCCAACATTGGGCTAGATTTTTGTCAGGTAACTTGCATCCCACTCATTTTCAGCCGTATTTGTCAATATCACCTATAAACATATCGGTCAAACTGTAACCAACTCTACCCAGAACCGTTATACCCTTCCTAGGAAATCTGGGGTTCCTGACCAGTATGTGTGAAGTATTTCAACATCTTAAGAACATATTGAGAACATACCACCTTCATTCTGAATGAGCACCCCAAGGATAATAACGATTTCATGTGTCCTTGCAGCATGTCTACAAATGTCTTAATGCATTTTTCAAAATTACCTATTTTGTTGGTTATGATTCTGTAGCCATGTTGTGAAGTCCTTGTTCACCTCAAACTGGTCCATTGTGTCTCTGATCATGTTGAGATCGGGAATTTGGAATTCAGCTTGCCTCTTGGTTGTATCCAAAATATTTCTACATAAATAACAATTGAGTTATTGCTGGCTGTTATGATCAAAACTTCACTGGGTGAAGTTCAGCTGTAGGATGAATATTTGAGAAGGGGTTCTATCTTTTTGTAGCCCAAAACAGTGAAAATGGTACTGCTCAAATGCCTCCCCCCCAGATACCAGGAATCAGCCAGAAGTGTGGGGTAAAAGCTTTTTATTGCCAGAGGCTTACTATGTTCTATTTTACCACAAAAGGGCTGTATAAACGCTCTTGTTTTGGCAATATAATAGTCCATAGATGTCCGTAGCCTCCCTAGTGGTCTGATTATGTCCATATTTCTGTGCTCAAAGCGGCATTTTTTTGCATGGAAATATGTTGGTTTTTTATTGCAGGCCTGTAATTTTTAGGAATATCTCACTGAAATCTGTCCGAACAAGAGTCTAGTAAACATCCCGGGTATGATAAAATTTGAAACATAAAATCATAAATTATAATTTAATAAATAATCATAAAAAAAATAATAATATAATCATAAATTTAATTCAATAATATAATCAAACCAAAAACACTGAAATTTGAAATATAGCGCTAAGTTCGCACATCACTGAGCTTTGTCGCAAAATCGTTTTCAGTGTCTGATGACAAATTTCCCCACGAATCATTATCACTCAATTCTGCAAGTAGTTCTAATTTACTATCGCTGTTCTCTAGCCGGTCTAAAACCGCTTTTGACCTAAAGGGACACTTTTTGGACGCCATGGACAGTTTCAAGGCAGAAAGAACAGTAAAAATGCAGGCAGGGCACAGGACAAAGCACTCGGGACAAAATGTATGTGAAATGGTTTGATACAGCAATGTTTTTTACTATGTGATTTTAGTGTATTAGTGAATGTCACTTTTTCACATTTTTGAATTTCCCGCCGTTCGGTCCTCGTACGTCCTGACATCGCAGGGAACGGAACACAGAAGACAGATGCTGGCATCGGCCGGAGGACATTGCCGGGGACACTGCAGGAGGGACATCGCGGGAGCAAAGGACAAGGTAAGTGAAGAAGAGATCCCAGAACAACACTGCAGAGTATTCCCGAGTGTAGCTCGGGGTTACCGCTTATGGTACTGAAACTTTACCCCGAGCTACACTCGGGAATACCATCAAGGAGGTTAATATCAATTACGGTCCTATGATGCACCAGTGGCAGCCATCCCAGAGTAAGCCAACTCTGTATGTGGAAATAGGAGAAAAGAAAAGGAATCACTTCTTTTTCTTTTCTCCTTTTAACAAAAAACTCTGCCTCCTACCTTTTTTTAAGATTAGGTTTTGCAGCAGAGCATTGATTATAGTTAAAGTTGCTATATGGCAAATACATCATAATTTAACTTTGTTGGTTAATTGACTTTTATCATAATTTATGTTTATACCAGAAAAAAATTAATTTGATATTATTTTCTATGGATATTATTGTGTTTGTAAATGAAAACTCATGCAGTATATTACAGACATTGTGCTTAAAGGATTTGTACTTAGCATACTCGCTTTTCTTCTCTCTTCTGCCCAGCAACCAGTCCACAAAGTTCTTTTTGAGCATGTTATCAACTGATCTGCTATAGTCACTGGCTAGGATGGCTTCTGAGTAGCGTCTCTGCATGGGCTGAGCATCCTCACTGCTTACTGGAGACCTGAAAGGGACAGGGAAAGGGACATAGTCATCTTATCAAATAAATAAAAATCTAATGCAGCCAATGAATTTTCATTTTTTTACCAGTTTTTTTTTTTCCAGTTCATGCAACTTCTCTGATGGATGGATAAACAGGCATACCTCGGTTTTCCAATGACAATAATGCCTCGGTTTATGAATTTTTATCACAATACGAATGGATTAATTGGTTTTCAATGCATTTACAAATTGTTTTTTAATCATGTCCCTGTACAGTACTATGCCTTTTTTAAAAAGTTTTGAACAGATAAGATTTTTTTTTACTTTTTTCTGACCTCCGGAATGGATTAATTCGTTTTCAATGCATTTACAATTTTTTTTATCATGTCCCTGTACAGTACTATGCCTTTAAAGTGCACTTTATAAAGAGTTTTGAACAGATAAGACTTTTTTTTTACTTTTTTCTGACCTCCGGCATGGATTAATTGGTTTTCAATGCATTTACAAATTTTTTTATCATGTCCCTGTACAGTATTTATGCCTTTAAAGTGCACTTTATAAAGAGTTTTGAACAGATAAGACTTTGCTTGACTTTTTTCTGACCTCCGGAATGGATTAGTTGGTTTTCAATGAATTTACAAATTTTTTTATCATGTCCCTTTACAGTATTTATGCCTTTATAAAAAGTTTCGAACAGATAAGACTTTTTTTAAATTTTTTTCTGACCTCCGGAATAGATTAATTGATTTTCAATGCATTTGCTAATTATTTTTATAATGTCCCTGTACAGTATTTATGCCCTTAAAGTGCACTTTATAAAGAGTTTTGAACAGATAAGACTTTTCTTTTATTTTTTTTCTGACCTTTGGAATGGATTAATTGGTTTTCAATGCATTTACAAATTTTTTTTATCATGTCCCTGTACAGTATTTATGCCCTTAAAGTGCACTTTATAAAGAGTTTTGAACAGATAAGACTTTTCTTTTATTTTTTTCTGACCTTTGGAATGGATTAATTGGTTTTCAATGCATTTACAAATTTTTTTATCATGTCCCTGTACAGTATTTATGCCTTTAAAGTGCACTTTATAAAGCATTTGAACAGATAAAGGACTTTTTTTCACTTTTTCTTTACCTCCGGAACGGATTAATTGGTTTTCAATGGGAAACTGCATTTCGGTTTATGAATTTTTTGCAATACAAAAAGTCCCGCAGAACGAATTAAATTCGTAAACCGAGATACGCCTGTAATGATGTAATTGGATTAGGAAAAAAGCCCCTATCCACTGGCGTTTGAGTTATATAGGACATAAAAACACTTATGTTAACCTTTGTGCCTGCTCACATTTGTACATTAGCAGCTGCAATCTTATCTAAATAGTTATTATGCAATAATAATTTTTAAATTCATATAATTAAATGATGCTTTTAATATTGATGTTGTTAACAAATGTGTTTAAAAGCTAATTTTAAACATCAAGATCTGTTCAGTAATCCATGGCAAACATGCGTACTCAGCGTACTTTATGTGGGTTAGTTAAGATATGATTTCTGATTGATTGTTCTCAGTTACTGTACTTTGGATATCATCATTTTTATTTTCACTAACTAGTTGAATAAACCTGATGGTGATGCTTGCTAACTTATTTATATGTAAATGTGACACCTCTTTCTCAAGACAATGTACTATTGCTGTTCTACACTTTTCAATGTCCTGCATGTGGCCAATGATTGAGTGCAGGGGCGGATTGACAACTCAAGGGGCCCCCGGGCAATAGGGGATCATGGGGCCCCTGTGTCCTTGCCCAAACTCAAAAAAAGCCTATGAAAAAGGTACCAGGGGCATCTCATGGGGCCCCCTACTGACCCCGGGCCCTTGGGAAGTGCTCGAGTTTCCAAATGGTCAGTTCGCCTCTGATTGGGTGACACCCAATTATTATGGTATCATCTACTCTATTCTTCTATAACAGTGTTTATCAGATCCAGTCTATGAGTACATCCAAGGGGCCAGGTATTAAGGATTTCTAAGAGCATTTCTGACCTAAAGATATAGGTTAGATCACCTGGGCAAGATTAAGAAAATCCTCAAAACATAACCTGTCTGGGGTGCTTGATGAATGGAGTAAATATATACTGTAAGCTGAAATATATGTTGCTAAAATTTGCTACTATTCCTAATGTTGTGGTACTAACAGCCACCACATCAAACACGGCATGTTTTATTATTCATCCATAAACAAACTAAAATTGTTTTTTAAATTCCTAATGTGGTTGTCTGATCTGATTTGGTCTTGGGTCCAGGTAGTCAAACTTGAGGTAGGAGAAATGACCCAGGCAGATGTGATTATTTTACAACAGATATCCCATTCAATGTATTCAGTATCCAAGAAAATATTCCATGAATGGTGGAAGCAGTGGCGTCCCTAGGGGGGTGCAGGTCGCACCGGGTGACACCATCACAGGGGGTGCAGGAGCAGGATGCCAGCAGAGCTTCTTGGCTCTGTGAAGGTCCTGGCCAGTTATTGGGGTGATCCCGGATCCCCGACACAGTGACAGCTGCCCCCGGTGTAGCGGTAAAATGAGTATCCCGGGCCCGTGAAGATATGTATCTCCTGAAGCAACTGTGCATGTGCTGGTTTCAGACTGAAGAAGCCAATCGCTGATCTCCGACTTTAGCACAGAGCTGCCACAGTTAACCCCTTACAGGCTGCAAACCCCTGAAGCTGATCCCGCGGATCACTATGGGTTGCAAGATCATTTAACCCCACAAAGGTTCAACCTATACGTTGTTAACTGATCTTGCAACCCATAGTGATCCGCGGAATCAGCTTCAGCGGTTTGCAGCCTGTAAGGGGTTAACTGTAGCAGCTCTATGCTAAAGTCGGAGATCGGCTTCTTCGGCCTGAAACCGGCACATGTGCAATTGCTTCAGGGGCTACAAAGCTTCACGGGATACTCATTTTACCGATACACCGCCACCGCTCCTTCCTCTCTAGAGGGGTGACACCACGTATTACCGCACCAGGTGACACCAACCCTAGGGACGCCACTGGGTGGACGTTCATGATTACCCATGTTGTCCAAATATGAGCCAAATATACCTAAAAGAAGTTAATTTGCTAGATCACTGCCCTACCTATGGGTATATTTACTTGAGTTCCCTTTCCTTTTTTTTTTTTTTTTTAGAAACCATTTGAATGAAGTCATTTTTCTAATACTTATTAATTTATTACAGGTACTTATATAGCGCCGTCAACTCACACAGCTCTTTACATATATATTGTACATTCACATCAGTCCCTAACCCTCAAGGGGCGTACAATATAAGGTCATATTTTCAATGAAAGTAAGACTTTCATTGGTTGTTACATACAACACCTACGACCTCTCATTATAAGTACATTAGACCCATCATGTTTAATAATTATGACACAAAATATGAGCTTCTCTGTTACCTTATATTAGTTTCTTCCCCTTTTGCAGTATTGATGACTAAAAAAGTGAAGAAGAGGGCAAAATATTTCGGAGTCATCTTCTTTTTTTGTCAGCTGTAAAAAAAAAAAGAGAGGAAGAACTAAGCAAGACCTTATTTTACATATTAAGTAGCAAAGAGGAGTTTATATCTTATATCCTTCAAAGCATTTTATATAACTTGGCTACCAAATTTAACTGTCTTCCCTTTGATTATCTTTTCTTTTCAGCCTATTTTCATTAAGTAGCATTGGTCCTAGGGGATCAGTAGGGTCAGGCACAGACATCTGTGAACGTATTCAGTACAAGAGCTCAGAAAGCTGATCTCTAGGCGTAAAATGTGCTCCCCTTTGCTAGCAATCAGAATCAATCTGATTGATTTCTATGGACAACTCTACTGAATAAGTCAGTCGGACCTATTTAATCTACAAGTTTAGATTTATGCTAAAACTTTGTAGGAGTTCCCTCCACAACCAATCTACCTATTATTCCTAAAGACTGACCTCAGATACAACAGGGACCTGCTTTACACTGCCTGGCCCTCTTCTGCGTCCCTTCCATGGCATGCGTTCCTACTGGAATTGCTGAGATCTTGTTACCGGAGTGTGTGACAGATGTAAGAAGTTGTTAGGTGGCTTAACTCTCTAGCAGCTACTGAAAACTGAAATATGAATTTTAAGTGAAGTGACTTTTTGAGGCACAGGTTTACTTTCATACTAAAAATGTTGTGCAGGTTTGGAGGTTTGGGCTCCCCTATTCATCTCTACAGAGCTTAAAGTTGCACCTACGAACTGCAGCACGGGTGTCAGGAGGGAGTATATAAAAACACTGTCCGGTGAAGTGTTTTTGTTGGAGTATCTTAAACAATCAGCCCTTACAAGCCATGAATCAGTTATACCCAGTGCAAAATAGAACTTGGAGCTTATCACAGCCATTTGGCTTATCAATAAAATGTAGCAATAATATTTTACTAGTTTTGTATCTCCCCTTTCTATTTGATGTTAGAATAAAGAATACACAGACTTTAGAGTAATTGGGCAATTTATTATTTTGCTGATGTGGCAGCACCCAAATACTGCAAAGTTCCACTTTAAGCTTTAACATTTCTAAAAGCATCTGTTTGCAAAGTAAGGTCATCAGCTCACTTCCCCCCTCCCTTATTTCCTGTGGAACAATGTGTTCCAGTCTGCAGCTGGCACCCTTATTTTCAGCTGAAGATAGTTTATCTAAATGTGAAACTGCAAGGCCATATCCTGAACTGATTAGAAAGTCTTTTAAATGTACAGAAAGTGAAAGAGGAAATATATGCATTGTGATGTAATTGCTGATAGGTATACCCTGTAAGATGCTTTTCAAGGCACTTAGCTTACAGACACTGGTCTAGCTAAGTCCCAGCTGGTATATAAAAAGTTTGTTTTCCTCAAGTTCGTGTCTGGAGCTTTACCTGGAATTCCCAAATTTGCAACTACACTGCAATGATACAAAATCTATTTATTAAAAAGGCTTTAACCCAACACCAAAAGCTAACCTACTTTAGTCCTCATGCACATTGGACGTTTTTACAGTGGCTGTTTTTGGCTTTTGACGTTTTTTTTTCTACAGCTAATAAACCCCCCAGCATGTTATCCTAGGTGTCCATGCACACATAGACTGGAATCAACGTTTTTTGGCTGGAAAAAAAACAAGGACTAGTGGGTTTCTAGAGGAGTTTTTTAGCTGTAAAAAGGCTCTGACTCTGAAAAACGCGGTAAAACACCGTAAACTGGTGTTTTTGGACTTTTTTAACCAAAAAAAAATGTTTGGGGTTAAAAAAAAATGCTAAAAAACTCTAACACGATAAAACGCCGCTAATTGCGGCAAAATGCTGCTAAACAAAGCTGAAAAACTCACATTTTAACGTGACTTTAAACAGCTAACGTTACCAGCATTATCAAAACACCCCCGTGTGCATGGAGACTTACACTGTTCACTGTAGCTGTGGAAAATATGTCCTCTCTAACAGGATGGAATCTGTGCCAGAATGAGTGGTTCTACCTGGATAGCACCATCTGACAGAGCCCATGTGACTTGCTGTCATGGCATTCTGGTAATGGAAGCTGAAAGGTTTCGGAGTTGCACATTGATTTAGCTTTTGGATCAACCTTTCTCAACCTTCTCAACAGAGTGGAACCCTTGAAATAACTTTCCGGTCACTGGGAACCCCTGCTAGAAATGACCACTCATGGTCAGTGGGAAAAATGCTCCTTACACTTGTGGTCATTGGGAAGATGAACCCCTTATAGATAGCTACAAAGTTCCATGGTGTCAGTGGGAATTTATCTGAAAGGCAGAAATTGCTCATTGCTCAAGGAACCCCTATCAACTTCTGGAGGAACCCTACGGTTCCATGGAACATTGGTTTAGATGATAGAACAGGAAAAAGGGTAAGGGTCCATAATGATTAGCTACTTGTAGGGTTTGCATCCATTTTAGGTGGTATGCCCCTAAAACAAACTGCTACTTAGATCCCCTACCATCTTGTTAAATGCCTTTGTGGATGTGCCTCCACCAAGAACTTGGAAATACCTTTGCATCCATGACATGTATCTAACTCTATACTAATTGATAGTGTCCCCTAAACTTGTGTCTAGATTCTTTATATATTCATAAAGGTTAGCTGCCTAGGGAGAGTACTGCAAACAATCAACACAAAACTGCATTTTCTCCCTTTAACCACTTCAAGTCTGGACACTTTCACCCCCTTCATGTCCAGGCCAATTTTCAGCTTTCAGTGCTATCACACTTTGAATGACAATTGCACGGTCATGCAACACTGTACCCTTATGAATTTTTTTTGCATTTTTTGAGACAGATAAAACTTTATTTTGGTGGTATTTATTCACAACTGGGATTTTTATATTTTTTGTTATATAAATTAAAAAGTACAACAATGTTGAAAAAAAGTGTTTTTCGTATAAAAGTTTGCAAATAAATAATCTTTCTTCATAAATCTTGACCAAAATGTATTCAGCTATCTTTTTAGTAAAAGAAATAATAACCCAAATTAGTTTATAATCAAAAATTATAATTTTTCTACATTTCTTTTTAATTTTATATTATTATTTATGTTTTCGTTTGTTTTTTTTACATACTGTCACCCCAGCAGTACAGTGTCACCATAGTGACACTGTACTACTTGTGGGGGGTGATGAAGAGTTTTTTTTTTTTTTTTTTTCTGATTGCTTTTACACCCATAAAGGCTGTAAAAGCAATAATTTCTCCTTCTCTCTGGCTGCATTCTTGCAGCCATTGAGAAATACTATGAGAGCTGTGATTGGTCACAGCTTGTCACATGGTACAAGGCCTTGTACCATGTGATCTCTGTGATCATTCACAGATTTTACTAGTAGTAAGCAATGATGTCAGCAAGTGACATCTTGCTTACTAACATTCATGTGATCACTGATTGGTCAATCAGTGATCACATGATCGGGACCTCACACAGAGGTCCCGTATAGCGATTGGTGTTCCCAGGGAGCGCACACAGGCTGAAAATGTGGGCACCGTTTATAAACGGCCACCCGCTTCATCACTGCTCCCGTCCGGCCGTTTATGTACAAGGGCCAGATTGAAAGTGGTTAAGTATGAGAGTATCTCAGTATTTAAGTGTCTGAGATAGATAGATAAATCTTGTAAAACAAGGAATAAACAAGACATAAATATATAAAGTCTTTTTTTTTTTTATAACATAGTTACCAACATTGCAAATGTATTTCCAGGGGCACAGTTAGGGTATCTAAGTTAAGTTTCTGTCTTAGTGGACCACAGCATGCTGTAAAGTGTTTTGTCATAAAAAGTTTATCGTATTAAATTACAAATAGATAAATTTTGTGGCCTGAGAAATTAAAGAGGTTTTTCATGTGAAATAGCTTAGTGTATAAATCAGATTCACGTCAGGATCTGTCATATAGATGTTCCTGAAAGCAAGCCATTGTGGCCAGCCATGGAGTCGTTAAAATATATAAATAACTTACCTTTAGAGATGTCCTGTTCTTCTGGCCCATCTATTGAGGGGCAAAACTTTATATACTCAGTGACATCCTCCCATTGGTTGCCCAGGAACATGCTGGCTATAAATGAAAGAAAACTCATTATTCCTGCTTCATTAGGGCCAGTTAAGTCAATCTCCCACAAAAGGTTAAGTATTATTTGCGGTAATTAGGCTAATGTAAACGCCCAAACAGTATGCGTGTTAATGGAAAGGTTGTAGAGAGCACTTGTTGAAAAGGAAACATAATCAAGCAGTACTAGATATGGTTTTCTCCACTGGTCAGATAAAAAGCTATGACTTATTAAATTAGAGGTTTTTGGGCGTAAGAAGCATGTGATGGTGTGTATAGAAAATTAAGAGTGCAGAAATGGAATAATATCTAGACCATCAACCTTTTCAACACATACAGTGTTCAGCATAAATGAGTACATCACAACAGATTTGTCAGAAAACCTTTCCTTTTTCAGGCTCCATGCACATGGAGCATTTCAATAACGCTGGTAACTATAGCTGTGTAAAGTCACGTTAAAAAAACATGAGTTTTTCAGAGTTTTTGTTTTGCCACTTTTTTTCATGTTTTTCCATGTTTGCCTTTTTTAGAGGGTTTTTTTAACCAAGATTTGCCTAGAATTTGCCACGATTTACCACATTTTAACGTGTTTTGCTGCATTTTTCAGCGTTTGCGTTTTTTTAGCATTTTATTTTTACCAAAGAAATTTTTTTGTGGTCACAAAAAGTTAAAAAAAAACGCCAGTTTACAGCATTTTAGCATGTTTTTCAGCGTTAGAGCATTTTTACTGCTAATAATCTCCTCTAGAAACCCACTAGTCCTGGGTTTTTTTTCCAGCCAAAAAAATGTCCCTGCCAAAATACGTTGATTACAGTCTATGTGTACATAGATACATAGGATAACATGCTGGGGAGTTTACTGGCTGTAGAAAAAATGTCAAAAGCCAAAAACAGCCGCTGTAAAATCGTCCAGAGTGCATGAGGACTCAGAATCAACATTTTCTATGGGACACTGTACTACA